ACTGAAAACGTCAGGACTCTGTTAGGAACTAAAAGGCAGTGTAAATATGTAAGTCTTCGATAAGTCTTTAACTTGGATTTAAAAAGTGTTAAGTTTGTAAAAGAAGGAATATCAGGTGGTAGACTGTTCCACAGTAAAAGCATGGTCACCCCAGTGCTTACACCTCATCCTCGGGCCTTCTAGGAGCAGCTTTTTCATGCATACGGGCAAGTAAAAGTTATGTTAAATTAGGAGAAGCAAGGCCATTAAGAGCTTTAAAAACAAAGGCACTCAGAGAGCACATGTACCTCCACCAAGACATAACATTCACTCTCACAAATGGGTCCTCTGTGAAAAGAGAGATCCAGACACAAAATGTACCCTAAGATCCTTGATCTGGATCATACCCAGGTCATCTTTTAGGGTAATTGTAGGCAGTTATACTGTGTATCTTACCTGAACATTTCAGGGTTCTGTCTTCATTATAAACCACGTTATGGCAGAAAATATGCATTAAATGGGGTTATCAGTCTAAACTTTAAATAGTGGTTTATTTTAAACCTCATAGGCCATCAAAGGAGGAAACAAGTGCGCAAAGTAAGAAGTAATACATTTAAAAATAAATAAAAAAATATGATACAATGAAACTAACAGAGAGCAACCTCTGGTCTCTAACATGTACTGTTTTATTGTGTGTGCAACATTCTTCATTGACCCATTAGGCATGATGGGGAGTGTAGTCTTATTATTTAGAAATAACTGCACCAAAAGTCAGCCAGCCTATCTAACCCTTTCTATATTCTACAAAGTATCACAGTTCATTTTTAAAAGTGCGTTGCCCTTTTCAAGATAAATTTATTAAACCCACCTGTTCTGCTGGTTGTTGTCAAAATTCCCTTTTAAAAAGTAAATCATTATACTGCAGTGGTGATATCAAGAGGCAGATGAAGACCTTTTGCTGTTGAGATGAAGTACACTAATGTTGACAGAGTAATGGAAGCTAAAGCCTTGTTGTCAGAGTTGTGGGCTGGGATCGAACTGCAGTGTGAATCACAGTAATTGGCTCTTGTCTTAGCAGTGGAGAACAACATCCATTAACAGAGAGGCTGTAGATGGAGGCAGCATTAGTTTGGCTTTAGCTACAGTTTGGAGCTGGAGAGGAAAAGCCATGAATATTAATTGAGCTGATGTTCATGAATCCGTGTGTATGTCTGTGTGAAATATAACAACACTGTGCAGACCTTGTTATGAGACAAATATTCATTTCTACTGTCTTTTTCCTCTTTAGTGAATTTTCTCAGTGTACTGCAAATTTAACTAAATGAACTGGCTGCAGTAAGAGTACAGGGTGGAGCCTTGTGATAACTGATGCCATAAAGGTCGTGCATGTTTACAGGAGAGTATGATTATGAGTGGTGGATATTGAACTTCGAGAGTTTTATGGCATCGATTGAATTACTTCAGTATCATCAAGCATCGAAAATGCTTTTCTGCACTTTTATGTATTGATGTTAATGTTAAAAGAACTTAGGTTTAATTCTCATAGGTTTAACTTTTCATGTTATGAAACTGCTTTGAGTGCACAAAAATGCCAAGGAACTGAAAAGTAAAACTAATGATCTGTACCAGTATCGGTGTCAAGGCAACAATATTGGTATTACTAGTGAAAATTCTGGAATTATACCCAGCCCTAGTGATTATTGTGGGATGTGTAATATTACTGTCAGTCATCCACAAACCAAATGTGTGAAACCTGAAGGTTTCTTCTGGCAGCACAGTATTCAGCCTGTAATGAGGGCGCCATTCATCTCCATAACACCACATGATTACAACATCCATTTACCCATCTAGGCAGAATTACACCGTTCATTCATCCAACTGGACTGTATTGCACTGTTCATTCATCTAATATGGAGCTGTTACAGCTGAAAGACCAGTTTCCAGCTGAGCCACATGAAACCTGCTTCTCACTGATTAGACTCCACTCTGCCACTCATGCCGACATGTTCAGAGACTGGGAGCGATGACAAAGCTGCACTCAGGTAAAACCTTGCACTATGATTTTGGCCTCTCTGTGTGTCGAGCGATTGTATTAAACACCCACTGGATAAAATAAAATGTGCAGTGCTCAAGTTGAAAGCAGTGCTCTGTTTCTGTGGTCCTGATAAGCCTGGATAATTTGGAGATACAAGGTTTCACTCCTCAGCATCAGTGAGCTCTCATCCAGTCTCAAACATTGTAAGTGTTTCTATATTGGACGCACCAAGAGACGCTTGAAAGACAGACTGAGTGAACATAAACATAGCATTAGAACACATACTACTGACTCTCCTATAACACAAGATTTAGCTGAACATCACTCATGTAATGATAGTCTGCTGAGGATAAGGAATAGAAGCTATTGAAAAAAAGTAGTTGTGATGCATTTACTTTTGGTATTCAGCTTTTCTGAACCACCATCATTCAGGGTAGCTGTTCTGGTTGTTCTGTCAAACTATTTCCACTATACAGAGTCTCTTCTATTTTGTTGCTGGATGCTGCTGTGGCACGTTCAGGTGTCTGTGGGTAATAAGGTCAGAAGGTTTGCTCTCATCTAAATATTTAGATTCACCTGTGAAATGTGTGCAACTGCACGACAGAAAGGGCTGAAATATGAATTCTTAATAACTTGTTTGACATGTTGACGTGTGAAATGATACAGTCAAGAACCAAGAGAAGGGAAATATGCGATATTTCTAAGAGCTGGTGAAGTTACCAAACATATCATTAGAGTTGGATGAAAACTGCTAAAATACCAAATTGTCAACTGTAATGAAATGATTGTGGAGTAAAGACAGCAGGTTCAAATACTTCTGTTTTCACCCATGGTTTTGAAATAATAATGTATTGATTACTTCTTTTTCAACTGTAATGAGGATACTTACATCTGAGTCATTTTTAACAGCAAAAGGCTGTTGTGTGTCCTGTTGTGTGTCCTGTGTATGCGTGTGTAAGCAATTTTATAATCTTATAATGGAGATTTGCCTGAATTTACATACTGTATACATTCATATCAGCAGTGATTTAAAACGATCAGTACAACAAGACTTGGACCTTTTTTGGCAATACTTTAAGAAGCCAGTGATGAACAGGGCCATGCATTATCATATAATACAGTGAGCAATGACTATAAACCTGAAAATGTGAATATTGTATATGGCAGCGCTGACTATAATGAGCATCCCAAAAGGTTTTTCTGAGGTTCCAATGAAAGCTCAAACCTGAAACACACATTTTGGGTTAACAAACACATTGATTAAAACTTTTTATGACACTTCACATTTCCAAAATATAGTATTTTAAAACAATTTAGATTTTAACAAGTATGAAACCCTAACCATGGTTTTTCCTGCTTTGTGGTTGGTTGACAGAGTTGTGTGACGGTCCACTGGTGTCTAATCTGCCTCCAACGTCCTTCAGGAGCTCCTCCCATCTGTCCAGCAGCCATGCACCGGGCTTCGCCAAACTCAACAGGAGAGAAGGTGAGGAAGAGCTTCTTAGGCTGAATATAAAACAACATAGTGCTACATCACATGACTAAAGTGTAAGTGGTTTACATGCTCAAACATTCTGTTGAGATTAAGAGAATGTAATTACTCTTGCACTTATGTGAAAGACTCTTTCTCTTTTTGTGTGAAAGAGTCTTTAGGTAGTGAAATAACTTAGCTAACTAATGTCTCATCTAAATCCATCCATCCATTATCTGTACTGCTTATCCCGAGGAGGGTCATTGGGGGACTGGAGCCAATCCCAGCTGACATTGGACGGGAGGCAGGGTCCAGTGTCAGGTCTCCAGTCTGTCACAGGGCTGACACGTAGACAAACAACCACATGTACATGACTCAGAATAGCTGTGTTCAACAATAAGGATCATGCCAAGAGTAGAAAGTGGGAGTGAAGTGACTGACCAGCCTGCTGCTGACAGCATCATAACCTGGGTGCACATGTTAATACACTACAACATTTTTTACACCTGACTCTGACTGGTAGACAGTCACATTTTCTCCCCAGCTACAGTATATATGTAAAACCCACCCCCAGCTGTTTGTTGAGGAAATTACTAAATAAATAAACATCCCCATTTGATTCCCACCTCGTGCTGCTGCTGCAGCAAACACTCCACCTCCTCCAGTTGTTCTCAGGGGAGCAGCTCTGCTTTCTAAATGAACAAAGATTATCTGTCAGGTCCGCTCGGCGCGACCTGCCTCTCTTCCGCCTTTCTCTCCTCTGCTTTCTCTATCCTGTGGGATCTGCACCTCAGCTGTGTTGCATTCCAGTAATTAGCGACTCGTTTGTCGGTGCACACAACTGGGGTGCATCCCGATGATTACTCCTTATTTATACCTCTGACAGACGCTCTGTCTTTGCCAGAGCATTAACATACCTAATATCCATACCCTGTAACTGACCTATAGTCGTGTGGTATGTGGCACGTCGTTTGACTTCCAAGCTGACAGTTCCTGTGCTGTGGATCTCAATATGTACGTTAGTTACCTGTTTTTGTGTTACACGTCTCTAGACGTCCACGCTGACAGTTTCTGTGCTGTGGATCTCAATTTGTACGTTAGTTACCTGTTTTTCTGTTACACGTCTCTAGATGTCCACGCTGACAGTTCCTGTGCTGTGGATCTCAGTTTGTACGTTAGTTACCTGTTTTTGTGTTACACGTCTCTAGACGTCCACGCTGACAGTTCCTGTGCTGTGGATCTCATTTTGTACGTTAGTTACCTGTTTTTGTGTTACACGTCTCTAGACGTCCACGCTGACAGTTCCTGTGCTGTGGATCTCATTTTGTACGTTAGTTACCTGTTTTTGTGTTACACGTCTCTAGACGTCCACGCTGACAGTTCCTGTGCTGTGGATCTCAGTTTGTACGTTAGTTACCTGTTTTTGTGTTACACGTCTCTAGACGTCCACGCTGACAGTTTCTGTGCTGTGGATCTCAATTTGTACGTTAGTTACCTGTTTTTCTGTTACACGTCTCTAGATGTCCACGCTGACAGTTCCTGTGCTGTGGATCTCAGTTTGTACGTTAGTTACCTGTTTTTGTGTTACACGTCTCTAGACGTCCACGCTGACAGTTCCTGTGCTGTGGATGTCTTTTTTTGTTCGCCGGTAGTTTGTCTATTCCCCCGTCCCCCGTCCCCCATCTATGTCCATCCTGTTTCTCCCACTCTCCTGTTTTTTTGCCGTTAGCCTGTCTTCTCCCCTGGTCGTCCTGTTCTCCTCAGCTGTATTTGCTCAGCCCTGGTTGTATGTGTTCCTCAACTCTATTCCTTTTTGTAATCCCCACCAATAAACCACCTGTTTTTTACTAGCACCTGGGTCAGCACTCTTGAGTCCAGCCTCAGTTCTCCCTCACCCTCCTGATGAGGGAGACTAAACCTTAACATTATCAAAGCCCTTGAATTAATGCTACCTAAAATAAACACAGGTATTTAAATGTGGGCTTTAACTTCCCAGACATTACTACTACTATAACAATTTTATCACCTAGTTCAGATTTGTGTACCTCCAGGTGATGGATCTCTACATGACCAATCTTATTTAATAGCAACTCTCTGAGACACTTTGTTGCTCATGTTTGTCAGAGTTTAAACTTGGAGCTGGTCACAGGAGACCTGATGGCACCAGGACCCTGTGTACAGATTCAATACTAAGATGTCTAATGTCTAATTTTACAGAACCTTATTGTTATCTGCAGCACCAAGAGTTTGACCTGAAGCAGCAGAGCCTGAACAGAGGATGTTTACTAATCTGCAAATAACAACTACTTTTTTTTTATCCATCAGTTCATTTGGTTATGCCAATAAAATACATTGCCTGTAAATAATGAAAAAAAAACACTGTTGTTGTTTCTGACAGACCAAGATGACATCTTCAAGGTTTGTCTTACCAACAGTCCAAAGCCCAAGTTTATGAACCAGCACCAAAGCAGCCTTTGTGTCACTGCATGCAGCCTCTTGGTACAGTCTGAGCTGATTTGTGTGGCTTTGCTGGGACATCTGTTTATCACAACAGACAAATGCTTCAGCTTAAATATCCAAAAATCCCCCTTTGAGGTTCTTTTTTTGCCAGATTGTTTAATCGCACACGGCCCAGCTCGGCAGTGATAGATATGTTTATGTCTGGCATCAGGCATGCGTGGAGATTGGTATTCTCTTTTGTACACAGCAGTTTCTTTTGAAAGGTGGCACACTATTTTGTGCACTCGCATCATTTTTATATCTGGGCGCAGAAATGGCTGAAAAGCTCAGGCAAGCAGCTGATTGAAGATGAAAGAAGAACCTGCAGAGTGAATGACTCACTATTTTGGGCTGTTTTGATCCTGAGCCTGTGTTATTCTTCATTTGGATTTCATCAGCCTGGTTTTATCCTCTTACTGTTCCTTTTTCTGTCCCTTTCCCTCATCTTCTTTGGATAAATTGACTTCTGTTCTCCTGCACAGAATGTTTTCTTATGTAATCATTAGTTACACTTTGTCACATTTCACTTTTTCATCAGGAAGAACTAATTTACTCAGCTTTGTCTTTTTGCCAAATGTTAACAGCAGTCTTTGTGTTTAAACATCTTCTTTTCTCAGGCAACACTGACATCTGTGTTATCAGTGACACTGCCTCAGTTATACTGGCACAGTCTTTAAAAAGAATTATTCTGCCACAGTAATCAACTGTCTACATTAAGTGAAAACTAAAATTCGATTTTAATTAGAATCTGTTCTGGTAGTGTGTATGGATTGCCAATTAATGAAGCACTGATGTACATATGTTTGTGTTCACTGTACTTTATTGAATTCATAAAGTTCCAGTGTGGCCCTTGAAACTCAAGTGAAAATGTGCTGTGATCTGCTGCTGCATCAGGCCCATGAGAGTGTCTGTATGTCTGACATGCTATCAGGCTGCTGAATTACCACCCAGGCTTCCTATTCTCATGCAGATGATCAACTTTCGTTCTCAGTCTATAACCTGTCTCTCTTCTCTTCAGCTACCTGTCTGTCTGTAACAGCGCCTGATCACTTCACTGCCTGTCTCTCTCTCTGTACCATCTCACTTCTTCCTGTGCCTTTTCCTTCCCACTTGACTCTTTATTTTACTCGTGTCTTTCTTTTTGTATGTTCCCGTCAGGTGGAATATCAGTGCATTATTAATGATACAGTAGTCCTTTCTTTACTCATCCATCTTACAGTGATGCTGCCATCCAGAAAGGCCCACAGTCTCAGGCTTGGTCACCCTTCAGCAGTAAAGCAGAAGGAGAGCTCTGCAGTCTGTGAACGTCTCCTCCTCACCTCTTACATGCACTAGCTGTTCTGCTCTAATAACAACAGAGACAAATTGAGTTTCTTTCAGGTGTCAGAGTCCTTACAGGAGAAGTGAGATTATAAACCCACTTTAAGTTAGTTTATACTTAATTTGAATGTTTTGTGGAACAGAACTGTACCCTTTCTTGCAAGATAAATAGAAAGCATGTCCTACTTTCTTTTAAGGGAGAACAGGCATAAATTAATGTGTGATGTTTTATTTTACTACTCTATAATAACTTTTTAATAATTTACAGGAAATTTTCTGGAAAAAGTGTAATTTGGTTTGGAATGCATAATATATTATGGAAAAAATAAATACAGTGCCTCTTTAGCCCTGAAGTTTCCCCAGGGAACAGGAAGCTTTTGAGCCCAATAAAACTGTTTCCTGGCCCCTAGACCAGAGAACTGTGAAGGGACTGTTAACCTTTCTGTTGGAAAATCAGTCAAATACCTCTAAAATGACAAGATTAATAAATAGAGAGGGTAAAGACCCAAAGACAGCTAAACTATTACAAAAATATGAAGGAATGACAAAAAGAGACACAAAACAAATACAAAGAGATGCAAAACAACTCAAAAAATAGACATAAAACAAGTAAAAATAAGTGCAAAATCAATAAAAGCAATGCAAACCAGCAAGAATTAACAAATTAATAGCTAAAAACAGATGCAAAATAAAACAAAACAATGACAAGAAGACTCAGAATGACTTCAGTCTGTGAGAAGTGTCAAAGAAGTGTTTGTACCCAGTGGCTCATTGTCTCATAATCCATCCATGCATATGACATAATGGTTGAAATTAATGTGAAATAGGATGTAACTGTTTTTACACAGCTGTAGACTGTATGACAAAATTCACAAAGTAAAGCAACTAAAATGTGGGTTTGTTTTGTTTCTGAGAAATCCTAGATAATGAGCTATACCAGTAATTGGCTGGCAGAGCAGCGGGTGGTTAGAGCTGAACAAACTCTGGGAGGGAGCGACCAGGGAGGCCTGGTTGATGTAAAGTGACAGCCATGACAGTGTGTTCAGACTGTCAGTCGTCAGTTCACCTCTGTTTCTATTATATCTGACACAGTAAATCCTTGTAGCGCCTCTCAGTCTTTCAGTTGTTTCCCCCTGATCTTGTTTTCTTTTTCGTCGCTGTCTAATCTTCATGAGTAAAGGTCAGAGTGTTTACTCCTTTCTGTGCTGCTGTCACTGGACACATTTCTCAGCCAGGTGTTTTTTTGTGTTGGCCTTTAGCACCTTAAAAATCAGGCTTTGCCAGCCACCAGACCGACTCTGATTCATGTTCACTGCTGAGCTTTTCTCTGTGGCCTGCCTCACACATTGTTATAAGACTTCTTTTAGACTGCAAACACAATAAAAAAGGAAATATTGAGGCTCTATATTTTCCAGTTGCAGTGGAAGAAACTTCAAAGAAAACCGCAGATAAGAGCCACTCACCGTCAAAAGACAAATCCCAGAGAGACCCAAAAATCCTCTTCACAACATTCAATGTCCACTCATCACATAACACAAAGGCTGGAGTAGATCCCTAAAGAAAACCATTTCAAGGAATAATATTGAGAAGTTTTACTTTTTAATGTCGTGTAAATTTTGAATGAATTTCCAGAAAATCTGGTGGAAAAACACAGATGTTTCCATCCGTTGTTAAGTGAATGGAGTGATCGGGATAAACAGCTGGTTTTCATGAAGAGACTGTATCACAAGGAGGTGACATAAGTTTTAGAAAATCAGTTCAATTTTGAATTTAAAGTGTAATTTTAGAAACAATGTTAAAAACATGATGAAACGAGTGTTTTTGTTTGTTTCGTGTATGATTTGGGGAAACATCAGTTTAATCTGATGTTTCTATCTGCTGCTGTTTGTCTTCTCTTTAGTGGAACAGAGGTTTGACAGCTTCTGTTTCTTTTGCACTGTGTCACATGTTGCTTTTACTGATACACTGATATGCTTTTCCACCTCAGCCAAGTGTAAAAACATCTTGGTGATCTCTTAGTTCTGCATTTACATACAGTTTTTTATATGCAAATTGAAAATGTCTAAGAAAAACAGATGGATGGGGATGCACTTACATCCACATTTAGAAGGATGAATGTAGTTAACGTCTTGTTGATCGGTTGTTTGCTTTTGCAAGATGGGAGGGCCATTTGCACGTTGCTAATGTTATGTTAAGCATGTTCTTGGAAGGTCACTCATCAGTTCTGCTTGTGATTTTCATGGACACCCTCTCAACGCTGAAGAATGGAGCGTGTCTGTGTGGTTTCTCGGGACTGTATCCCCGTGTTCTGCCAATAACACTGTGCAGTTTGCTTCCATCAGACTTCAGCCTCCATTGGGTGGCTTGTAGCTGAATGTAAGTTGATTGGGGCAAATGTTAACTGCTCAACATGTGCCAAGATGCTCATTGGGAACATTTGAGTGTGAGGTTAACAGGAATATTAGTTTGTATCAACAGTGATGTGAAGACTGAAGGTGAAACTGTTTACCAGTACATTCTCTGAAAAAGTTTCTACACTTCTACACTGGTCCCTGCCGGCTGCGTCCATATGATATTAGGTGTTTGTTTGACTCCTCGACCACATGAATTACACAAAAAAACATCTTGTAGCCCATCCTTTTGTGATGGATTTGCACTGTCCCCTGGAGATTTGGGATCCAGTTTACTTGTATTTTTGTTAGCATAGTAACATGTCTGTCAGTCAGTCAGTCTGTCTGGTCTTTTAATGATTCCCAGGGACTTGTTGATACCTACACTATGTGAGTGGGTATTTCTTTTGTTGGTGGGTGGTTGTGTGTGTGCTCAGTGGGACACTGGCCAGCAGCCTCCTTCTTCAGAATCACCCATCTGGTGTTAGAGCTCCGAGGTGTCACTTTGGCCTGAAAACAGGCTTTCACAACACAGATTCTGGTGCCTTCTTTCTCTTATAGCATTTCCCTCTGTATTTGAAAAAAAACAAATTCATGACAAATGTATATAACTAATCAATACCTTACATAACAGTGGCTGTTAAGGCACACTGAGACCAGTACAGTGTGCAACTAGGCGATGCATTCCATAGGAAATTCCACTGACCTACTGCAAAACTGCACTCTCATTTAAACTAAACAACATGTGTTGAGAAACCCTCTTTTTATTTTCTCAACCTATTAACCAATCAATATGTTACAGCCCTGCTTTTTATTGGAAAAAGAACCTGCAGCGGTACTTTAAAGCTAATCAATGCTTGGCACCAGAACCTCTTATTGATAATATTTTATATAGCAAAGGATGCAGCCTGCACAACCAATCAATGGCTGCAACCTCTTAGCAATGCTATATTTGGGAAAGGATGAAAAAGGTCTGGTGTTCAGAGCAACTGATCAATGCACCACAGTGTCTTAATGATGCTGTTTTGTCTGGGAAATGTAATCAGGAGCTACATAATAATGTGCAGTGTATAATAGTTTGACAAGGACTAAATCCAGTAAAATGTTTCAGTGCTGTGGTCAAAGACAAGAGTTTGAAATGTGGCCATAAGGATGTCAGGGCATTTAAAAAAAACAAAAAGAACATTTCACAAAAACTAGCCATAGACAATACACAAACAATACACTTATTCTCCTGTGGCTGTTGAACATCAGTCTGAGCATGACAAGTTTACACAGATGTTAATACACAGAAAACACAGCTTGCAAAGTAATTCCCAGTGCAACAATTATTCATAGATGGGTTTTTAGCAATGCTTGTGCAATGTCAGCCTTGTTCAGCCTGAAATATACCAACACGGGGCTGCTGTGGCTCTGGGGTACAGCAGTTGTCTCCCAAATGGGAGGTTGGACATTCATTTTACAGTGCCTGCAGTCCATGTGTTGAACTGTCCTTGGGCAAGACACTGATCTCCAAGTTACTCCCCGATGGTCAGAGCAGTGCCTTGCAGGGACAGCGCCACCATCCATATTGGTCACATATGCCACAGTTGTGTGCTGAGAAAGTGGGTGAAAAGGTGTCTGTCGTCCAGAACATCTACTAAACATCCCTGAATTTTCTCAAAGAAAAAAGACCAAGGGTAAATGACAAATAAGCATGAAAAGCTATACATGCTGAAGGTTTGTATATTGGAAAAGGTGGCAGAGGTTTGCATTCTGTTGAATGTCTTTTGTATATTTATGAAGATAAATCAACTCATGAAATTCCAACATATACCCTGTGTAAATTGGATGTTAGG